GACCCACTCTGGTCAGGGCAGGGCGTCCCTGCTGAGCCCTTGGCTGGTTCAGCCCCTCCAGAATTCCTGCCAGTCCCGTTGCTTTCAGACAGTTTCCACCCACAAATGAGCTGTGCCCTGTCTGGCACCGTGTCCCTGACCTGGCAGCATCTCCAGCACCTCCCCTGCCCTGCCCGTGTCCCCTGCCCTGTCCCCTGCCCTGTCCCCTGCCCTGTCCCCTGCTGTCCCGAGGCACTGAGGCTCCCCAGCTGTCACCAGCACAGCCCATTTACCTTCCACGTGTCCCGAATTAGGGGGAATGGACAGGAGGGCTGGGCCTGTTTAAAAATTAAAGCTGATTACAGGGCATTAACATTACATTTAAAGGAACAGACAGCAGCCTCCTCTCTCCCTCGGCACAGTTGCAATATGTTCCCCTTTTGTTCCGGGCTGGGAGAGGGGAAGGGAGCAGGATTTCTTCTTCTTTATCCATCAATTTTAAAAGAGGAGCTGCCTGGTGTCTGCTGCAAGGCTCCAAAGCAGTTGTGGTCTGGCTCTGCCCAGAGCAGTTCCCATCTTTGTGATCCCAGCAGGAAGGCCAAGTTCTTTTGGCTGACCTTGAACTTCCCTTGGAACGTCCAGGTGATCTGACACCGCTCACTGATCCCTCTCCTGAGCTGTCACGTTGGGAAACTCCCACATCTGAGGGATCCCTGTTGTTTGACAATAATTTACATGGTCACCTTTCACCACAAAACAGTCCTAGCTGGGTGTGGGTGGGAGCACCCTGGATGAATGGGATGCTTTAGGAATTCATGGTGGGTTTAGGTTGGACTTGGAGCCTGTTTATTGGGTGTATTTGGGTGATATTTGTCCAGGTTTCTGCACCTCCATCCCACAGTCCCCCATTAATCCACGTGGCTCCAGAAGGAGCCACTCAGGGCAGGGTGGGCACTGAGGAGAGGCCTTTGGGCAGGTGGAATAATGTGTTTATAGCCACTGGATCTTGCTTTTCTTCCTTTTCCAAGAAGTCAGTGCTCCAGGGAGAGCTGAGAGCCCCTTCCAGGGCCCAAAGGGGCTCCAGGAGAGCTGGAGAGGGACTGGGGACAAGGCCTGGAGGGACAGGACACAGGGAATGGCTTCCCAGTGCCAGAGGGCAGGGATAGGTGGGATATTGGGAAGGAATTGCTGGCTGGGAGGGTGGGGAGGGGCTGGAATGGATTTCCCAGAGAAGCTGTGGCTGCCCCTGGATCCCTGGAAGTGTCCAAGGCTGGGCTGGAGAAACCTGGGCTGGTGGAAGGTGTCCCTGCCCATGGCAGGGGGTGGCACTGGATGGGCTTTAAGGTCCCTCCAGCCCAAACCATTCCATGATTCTGTGATCTCTCAGTGAGACTTTTCATTCCACTTCACCATCACCAACGTTCTCGTTCAATTCTGGGTGTTTCTCCCAGTTTATGATGAGGAAATCTCCAACAGCTTGGCTTAGAGAGCCCCATTCCAAGGTCCTGAGCTCTGCTGGTCCTCACTCCGGGGCTCTGGGGGTGTCCCTTGGTCACAGCAGCTTTTGGGGGTGTCTGCCAGAGGTGGGAATTTCAATCCTTGGACAAGCTTCTGCCTAAAAAGAGCTGTGGTGGAATCCAGGCAGGAAAGGAATGGCAGGCAGGGTGGGCAGCAGGACAAGCATTTCCAAGCTTGCCGCTGTTTCCAGTCCAGGAATAGGGATGGGAAGGGATGGAGGGATTTCTGAAGGGTGTCTGGAACCTGGATCAGAGGATTCCTAACCCAACCTGGATCAGAGGATTCCTAACCCAGCCTTGGATCAGAGGATTCCTAACTCAACCTTGGATCAGAGGATTCCTAACCCAACCTGGATCAGAGGTTTCCTAACATGGATCAGAGGATTCCCAACCCTAGATCAGAGGATTCCTCACCTGGATCAGAAGATTCCTAACCTGGATCAGAGGATTCCTAACCCAGCCTGGATCAGAGGATTCCTAATCCTGGATCAGAGGATTCCCAACCCTGGATCAGAGGATTCCCAACCCTGGATTAGAGGATTCCTAACCTGAATCAGAAGATTCCTAACCTGGATCAGAGGATTCCCAACCCTGGATCAGAGGATTCCTAACCTGGATCAGAGGATTCCTAACCTGGATCAGAGGATTCCCAACCCTGGATCAGAGGATTCCTAACCTGGATCAGAGGATTCCCAACCCTGGATCAGAGGATTCCTAACCCAACTGGATCAGAGCTCGACCAGCAAAGCTTCTCCCTGGGGTCCAAACAGGGTCGTGGAGCTCCTGGCAGGACCAAGGCTGGGGAAAGCAGCTTTTCCCTGGCCACATCCATGCTGGAATTGCTCAGTGTGGAGCTCAGCATTCACATCCAGGGCTGTTGAACTGGGTGGGTGGAAGATTAAGCTGGGACTGAACCCAGGCTCTGCTTTGCTGCCCCTTCCTCAGTGCTCCTGGGATGGAGCTCCCGTGGGATGGGCTCTGCCTGTAGGAACAACTTATTCCAAGTTGTGTTCAGCACGTGGCAGCTTTTCCAGCCCACCTCTGGAAGAATTCCCAGCTTACCCAAGGCCAGCTCCATCCTGCTGGCACAGGCTCTGCTGATCCTGCTCCTCCAGGCAGTCCCAAAGGACAGGTCCCAGCTCACTTTTCTCGGGAGCCGCTTCCCGGAGCGGAGCAAAATCTGTGTCTCAAGTTTAGGGCATTGTTCCTTCAGCTGATCCCAAGTGACCCCCTCGCTGCCAGGGGGTGAGGGTGGGCAGTGGTCCCTGCAGGGGGGCAGCTGGAGCATCTTCCAGGGCACATCTTGCCCTGCTCAGGGAAGCAGCATCCCCTGCTCCCCACCCGTGCAGGCAAAGCTGGGGGTGTCACTGCTCTTCCCTACCTGTGCTGGGCCCCTTTTGCCCCTTGAACCATTCCAGGGGCTCTGGGAGCAGCCTGTGCTCCCACTGAATCAGGGCAGATGGAGAGGGGCTTCCTAATCCCCCCCTCCCCTTCCACCCCCCATGCAGGGCAGGGCTGGGCTGTAACCTGCTGCTCCATCCCAGCAGGGCCCCCTTCCCGCCTTCCCTGCCAGCCCTCCCTGTGCCCACGGGCTGGGCTGGACCTGCCCACCCTCACCCTGGGGAGCTGTGGGAGATGGAGCCTGTCTGGAGTGTCTGGAGGCTCCTGAGGCTCCGGAGGCTCCTCTGCCCTCGGGGAAGTTTGGGAGCTCTGGGCCCTTCATGGCTGTGGGTGGGTGGAGGGGGCAGCCCGATCCCAATGGGAAGCTGGCTGGAATCCCAGCGAGCTGTTCTGGCTCTGGGAGGCATCCTAGGAAGTGAGGTGGGCTCTGGGAACTCACTGGAAGGACAAACCCCCTGTCTGGGAGTTGGG